GCCCGGGCGCCCGGCCCCCCCCCCCCACCATGTCGTTTCCCCCCCTCATCGTCTCGGCTTGTCGGTGGCCCCGGAAAAGCCATAAACGTCCCCAAAATAAAGCTCGAGCCAGGAGGGGCCTGCGAGTGGCTGCGCCGCGGGGCACAGGGGACACTGGGGACACCGGGAGGACGTGGGGACACAGGGATGGGACCTGGGGACGGAAGAAGGGGTCACAACCTGGGAACACAGGGAGGTGGCACGAGGACACGGGGAAGGGGCGCAGGGACATGGGGAGGTGGCACCAGAACGTGGGGACACTGTGGGGGACACAGGACCATGGGGTGGGATATGGGGACCCTAGGGGGACACCGGGATGGGACATGGGGACCCAACCTGGGGAGGATGGGACAGCGGGACTGGACATGGGGAGGTGGCATAGGGACATGGGACATTGGAGATGGGGCATGGGGACATAGCCTGGGGACAGGGGGAGGTGGCACAGGGATGGGATATGGGGACACTGGGGGAGGATGTAGGAGCTGGCACAGGGACATGGGGACAGGCCATGGGGACACAGGATTGGGCCATGGGTACACAAAAGAGGAGCGGGGCAGGGGGATGTGGGGACATGGGGACACGCTATGGGGAGGTGGCACCATGTGGGGACAGGAGAGACATGGATGGAGATGGGATGTGGGGACATGGGGACGCGCTATGGGGAGGTGGCACCATGTGGGGACAGGAGAGACATGGATGGAGATGGGATGTGGGGACATGGGGACGCGCTATGGGGAGGTGGCACCATGTGGGGACAGGAGAGACATGGATGGAGATGGGATGTGGGGACATGGGGACGCGCTATGGGGAGGTGGCACCATGTGGGGACAGGAGAGACATGGATGGAGATGGGATGTGGGGACATGGGGACGCGCTATGGGGAGGTGGCACCATGTGGGGACAGGAGAGACATGGATGGAGATGGGATGTGGGGACATGGGGACGCGCTATGGGGAGGTGGCACCATGTGGGGACAGGAGAGACATGGATGGAGATGGGATGTGGGGACATGGGGACGCGCTATGGGGAGGTGGCACCATGTGGGGACAGGAGAGACATGGATGGAGGGACGCGCTATGGGGAGGTGGCACCATGTGGGGACAGGAGAGACATGGATGGAGATGGGATGTGGGGACATGGGGACGCGCTATGGGGAGGTGGCACCATGTGGGGACAGGAGAGACATGGATGGAGATGGGATGTGGGGACATGGGGACGCGCTATGGGGAGGTGGCACCATGTGGGGACAGGAGAGACATGGATGGAGATGGGGTGTGGGGACACGGGGATGGGATGTGGGGACATGGGGACGCGCTATGGGGAGGTGACACCATGTGGGGACACAGGGAGGTGGCACAGAGATGTGGGGACAAGAGGGACGTGGATGGGGATGGGATATGGGGACCCTGGGGGAGGACATAGGAGCTGGCACAGGGACATGGGGACAGGCCATGGGGACACAGGATTGGGCCATGGGTACACAAAAGAGGAGCGGGGCAGGGGGATGTGGGGACATGGGGACACGCTATGGGGAGGTGGCACCATGTGGGGACAGGAGAGACATGGATGGAGATGGGATGTGGGGACATGGGGACGCGCTATGGCGAGGTGGCACCATGTGGGGACATGGGGAGGTGGCACCATGTGGGGACAAGAGGGACATGGATGGGGATGGGATGTGGGGACACGGGGATGGGATGTGGGGACATGGGGACGCGCTATGGGGAGGTGACACCATGTGGGGACACAGGGAGGTGGCACAGAGATGTGGGGACAAGAGGGACGTGGATGGGGATGGGATATGGGGACCCTGGGGGAGGACATAGGAGCTGGCACAGGGACATGGGGACAGGCCATGGGGACACAGGATTGGGCCATGGGTACACAAAAGAGGAGCGGGGCAGGGGGATGTGGGGACATGGGGACACGCTATGGGGAGGTGGCACCATGTGGGGACAGGAGAGACATGGATGGAGATGGGATGTGGGGACATGGGGACGCGCTATGGCGAGGTGGCACCATGTGGGGACATGGGGAGGTGGCACCATGTGGGGACAAGAGGGACATGGATGGGGATGGGATGTGGGGACACGGGGATGGGATGTGGGGACATGGGGACGCGCTATGGGGAGGTGACACCATGTGGGGACACAGGGAGGTGGCACAGAGATGTGGGGACAAGAGGGACGTGGATGGGGATGGGATATGGGGACCCTGGGGGAGGACATAGGAGCTGGCACAGGGACATGGGGACAGGCCATGGGGACACAGGATTGGGCCATGGGTACACAAAAGAGGAGCGGGGCAGGGGGATGTGGGGACATGGGGACACGCTATGGGGAGGTGGCACCATGTGGGGACAGGAGAGACATGGATGGAGATGGGATGTGGGGACATGGGGACGCGCTATGGCGAGGTGGGAGCTGGAGGGGAGCGGGTCGGAGTGGAGCCGAACCGGAGCCGAACCGGAGCCGGACAAGCCCCGAACCGGAGCTAGATCCCAACCGGAACGGAGCGGGAGCCGAACAAGCCCAAAACCTCGTCGGAACCGGAACCAGAACTGAACCGCAGCCGAACCAGAACAGAACCGGAACCGAACCGGAACCAAGCAAGCCCCGAACCGGCACCGAACCTCCCACCCAAACGGGAGCCGGAGAAGCCCCGAAGCGGAGCCGAACCGCGAGCGGACCGAGCTCGGAACCGGCCGGGACCCCGGAG